CCTGCAGCTGAATGGGAATTAAGATCTCTCCCGAAGCTTCCATCAAATTGCAGGATGAAAGCACTCGCCTGTCTTGGAGGAAGATTATAAGAAAAGGGCTCAGCAGGAAAGTTTGCAAGTAATCCAACCAGCACCCATGCAGGTCACCAAAATTCACTCCAGCAAAAACCTTGTTCGTACTCATCTAAGAGGTAAGCAAGGTCAACACATGGTTTTTAAGAACACCCAAAGGGGAGGCTTTATTATCAAAAATTCTTTTATTTCTTTCTTCCCAAATTCCCCACAAAACTGCATGAGCAATAGCTCTCTAAAATATCTGCCCCTCTTACCAAATTACAGCACTTCCACTGATTAATGAAGTCACCAACAGAATATGGAGGATCCCAGCTGTAACTGCTCTCATAAATCAAGTCAAAGAAGAATTGCCACCAGCTTCTAGCCACATGGCAGTTGATGAATAGGTGGCCAATGGACTCCCCATCACTTAGACGCATAGTGCAAACATGAGGAGATAAGCAAACCCTCCCATTATTTTTCTCTGGAGGATGTCAAGAGTATTCAGCTTTCCCCAAACGAAGGAAACTCTAGGAGGGACTGAAGACAGCCAAATCCTATTTGCCCCAAAAGGAGGAGTAGTGGAGCTGGAGGTAGAAACAAGCTTGTGAAAGAAAGACTTGGTGGTAAAGGTGCCATTTGGGGTTAGGGACCAGATTAGCTTGTCTGGAATATGGTTAGAGATAAAGACCTCTTAGAGCTGGGATAGGAGAGGAAGCTTTTTCTTCCCAAGGAGAGCAAGATTCCTTTCATCTAAATGCCCCATCCCAAGACCTCCTATCTCCTTTGGATTACAAACTATTTCCCAGCTCACCAAGTGATCTCTCTTCTCACCTTCCCCATCCCACAAAAAATTCCGTTGCAATTTTTCCAAAAGGTTTCTTACCTTGGCCACGACTCTGAAGAGGGAGAGGTAGTAGGTGGGGAGATTTGAAAGTGTAGACCTAATAAGGGTAAGTCTTCCGCCTTTTGAGATATAATTGCTTTTCCAAGTCCCAAGTCTCCACAAAAGTGTCCCAAAACCCTGAAGCCTTAGGATTGCCTCCTAGCGGAAGGCCCAAGTATTTTATGGCCCAAGATTTTATCCTACGCCCCAAAGCTTCCTGCAAATACATACATATATAGATATATGTATATATATTGTATAATTACATTACTGAGACTTGAATCCTGGTCATTTATGTTAAAAATAACACCTTCACCATCCATCTGTCACTTACATTTGAATTATAAATTACAAAATCTATTATTTGTACTTTTTTGCAAATCGTGGTCAAACCATTTGACCCGTGACCCGGAAAGCATTCTGATTTTGTGTTTGATCTAAGTCTTAACACTGTTTTGAACACTCACTATTAAAAATTATCCCTCTCAGAAAAAGGTCATTACCCAATGTTTGTCCTAGCTCTCCGGGGCCTTGGGAGAGGTGAACTGGATATGGACCTAATCTCCAGCATTTTTAGCACCAAGTGGCCACTCTAAGACTTGGACATACATTCTCATGCTGGTCAGACCGATATTTTACCATCATACCAAGTAATGGGCCCTTATTTCTTTATTTTTGATCAGCAATGACCCCTTAAAAATCCCCTCCCCCCAAAGTGATGATTAATGTATTCCTGAGTTCAGAATATCAAGTGTAGAATTTAAAAGGTTGTCTTGGGAAGAATGGATTCTTCCAGGGTAACTTGGACACCCTTGAGATGGTGTATTTGTTTTAATTTAAACGAGTCTCTCCTGTCCAAAATGGCTTTGGTGGTTTGGTGCTGAGGCTGATGCATTTTAACAAGAGTAATTGCAAGCAAATATGGTGCAACAGTACAAGGATGTGATTCTTTTCCTACCTCCATTATGGCTCTAGTGTATGGAGATGATGTTTAAACAATCTATAAGACTTCAAGCAAAGGGTATCGTTCTCACCAAACTGGGGGATTAGACCAGATTTTGGGATGACAAATGGACAGGATTCAAGAAATCAACTTATTGAGATAGCCTTCACCAGAAACTTCAGCCTAGAAATTGACAAAGAATAAACATACCGTCAATTCCATGAAATGGAGACAGGGCCAGGTGGCACAGGATTATTCATTCCAGAACTTGGGAGAAATTCAATTGTCTAGGAAGCACATTTCTCCAGTTTTATAAGAACAATTCCATGTAGAATTTGAACAAGTTTCAAGGAAATGAAAGAAGCATAGTAGGAATGGCAATGGGGCAGGTTTGGGGTGGAGACAATACTCCCCATCCCCAAACCCAACTTTGAAACAAATCCCAACCCTCAACCTCAATCCTCACCAGGGATAAAATTGACCCTCCATCCCCAATCCCCGACAGAGACAAGTTCCTTGTCAGGAACCCAAATCCCTGAAATGATTAAAAGTTTTTTGGAAAAAAAAATTACTTAAAATAAAAGAAATTTTCTAAAATATAAATAATGTTTAAAATAAAAGAAAATTTCTAAAATATGTATATATTTAATATATATAATCAGGGTCAGGGCAGGGTGGGGAATTCACTCCCCATCCCCATCCCCATCCCTGTCCCCACCAAGGCAATCTTCACCCCCAACCCCATTGGGTCAGGGAAGTTGGGTACCCAACAGGGACGAAGAAATTTTCCATCATAAAGCACAGTTGTTCAATTAGGCAATGTAATCCAATGGATATGGTAATGGCAGTAGACTTCAAAAGTTTGAGAAAAAATGGGTTGGAGAAGATGGAAAGTTGCCGACTCAGAGGGGCTGCACTACATACCCTCTAGCAAGGGATCAGGTCATCATAATTCCCTATAAGTCGGTGATCTAGGAGGAGGGAGAAACTTGTATCTATAAGGAAGAAGAGAGAGACTGAGAGGAAACGGAGGGTCTTATAGAGAGAATGCCAGTGGAGGAGGGACTTGGGAGGAAAAGTTGGTTGAGTGAGTAAGCTCTTTCTTTTTTTTATGAATAATAATAAGTTTATTGATTCAGAAGCAACTTTAGAGTGAGTTCATACATCATCCCAACGAGAGGCACGAGCTGCAGCCCCTCCTTGAATCTTACAAGTAAACTATGAAAGAAAAACAATAATCAC